GACGCATCTATTGCCACGAAACAACATCCCGTCATCTAGCTCAGAGAATAAACACAAGAACCACGTGAAACGACTAAACAACAGAAAAGAAAGCTTTACTTTACAGTACCCATTCAGCATTTATGAGTTTGAGAGATGGAAGCCACAACGCACCGCGGTCACCGGTGTGCTATACATGCATCGATGCATGTGGTGGGCAGGCAGCTTCTACCTGCAAGACAAGGGCTTCATGTCGCAAGATCACAGTAAGCCTTGTGTGCTGCAGAGCGAGTTTGCATGCCCGTCCAACGGCACCTGGGCAGTTTTTTAGACTGAGGATGCACAATGACAATACACGTTATTTGTCTTGTGTGGAGCAAATATAAAAGGGCCACAAGCCCTATGTTTCTCAACAGGTGTGGCCATGATTATCCACAAGCCACCATGGAACCGGCAGATGGTTCCTTTCTTGGGTTTGTCAATAACGTTTGTAGCTATACCCTCCCACCATCCCAGAAACACAGGACTGAGCTTGTAAAGCTGCCTAGACCATAGAGGTTTCGGAAGATACATGCTCGTTTCGGGGAGGGCAACGGTACGTAACGCCGGGAATCATGCGACCAGGCATTGAGATGCTCGGCTGCAACTCTGGATGGTCCAGCCATCCAGGGCTCTATGAGTGGCCCACGCCTTGGGTTTGTGTGGGCTGGGGCTGGGGTTCTGGACTTCAGGATAGAAAATCAATCGAATCTCAGGATATAGATGATGAGACTGTTAATTTGTTCATTTACAATTGTTGATTGCTGTGTGACTGTTTGTTCACTCTATATACTTGCCCATTTCTTCGTGATGCAGATTCCAACTAATTATTTGGTTGGCTTAGTGGTGGAATGTCTCCTTCCTTCTCTTCCGCGTTCGGTCAAAAACCTACTGAATGGCACGAACAAAGAGAGCGGACCCTGAAAGCATTGGCTCTTTGATGCTCTTTGTAAGGACTATCTTTTGGAACTTTGGATTGAAGCCGGCATCCGAATTGTGGAAGACCTTGGAGAAAGTCTTGATCGAGCACAAGGACCAGAACACACGTTCAGCCACCTGGGCTTAACATCACTGGCTCTCCCAAGGAATTGGTCACCCGCAGGAAGGAGGTGCAACCGGTGTTCCCAGAAAGAGGGCGAACAACACGTGCACGGGCCAGGGTGACGGATTTCAGGCTTCCTGGCGGATTTCAGGTTGAAGAGCTCCTATGGAATTAGAAGAACTTGCGACTGGTCGAGTTCCCTATGCCATATGGAGTATGGAGAGGGCTTTTGTGGGGAAGGATCAAGGGAGTGCATGACTGCTCATATGACCGATTGAAGTTTGTTTCCTTCGTGACGGTGCGGCGGAAGGGGAGGTGGCCATGACAGATGGTGGCAGCATTGGGAAGACCACAGGGTCGATATGAAATATGTGGGAGAGGCTACTTTGGAGTGATGCAGGTCAGCCTCAAACCAAAAGAGCCCATTGGTTTAGTTTTGCAACCGGTTGCAACAGGCCCGAGGCCAGTCGCAGCATGTCTCACGCAGATTTACTTGGTGAACATAAATCGTGCGCATAGTCTGCAGAATTTGAGATCGGAGATGATTTGACTAGCTGCACATGTTCCGTTTCCAACCTGTTTCCAACTCAGCAAAGCTGTGGGATTGTTGGCTGAGAAAGTTAACATTCTTGGATTGACACTGAAATCTGTGGCCGTGCCGGCTGCAGAAGGTTTCCCAGGTTTCAGGTTAAGATGTTCCAAGGTTTGAAACGGTCTCTCTTCAGGCCCCACTCCCAAAGACAAAGGTGGAAGTGCAGTTGCGGCCCTGTGGAAGACGAATTTCCTATGCCAACAAAGGGTTTTCCAATTGGGCTTTCAAGGCTTTTCCCCACTTCTGCTACTAGAGAGGACCTATACCTCGACGATGACAAATGATCTCACAGTCACAGAACTCAATGATAGGATGAGTACTAGGAAGTGATTTTGGAGCAACCAATGTGCTTCGACTTGTGATGGTTGGGCAGCAGGGTGATGATCGGAGATGGTTGTTTGCATTAGACAACACTTGAAAACAACTGTTCTGTGAGTGGGTTTGGAGGTGTTTGTTTGATGTTTGTTCCTTGAGGTCTTCGATCGGCTCTTTGATGAATTATCAAGCTCACTGCATCAGAAGTTGGACCCATATGCTGGCAAGGCCAGCTGAAATTTGTCAGGCTCCAAAGGGAACAAGGGAAAGACTGGTCAATTTGGGGTCATAAATCTGTAATTCGATAATATGTTGGTTGAACCGAGAGATCCCCCAAAAATCCCCCCAACCGGTATTTAGTATTAGCTTTCAGTACAACATGGTTGGATAAAACAAACTCGTCGGTAAGTGGAGGCCCTTCGCTGCCGACGTCGACATGTGCTACATGTGTTCCACGGTCAGTGCTCGCCTCCCAGTCATGGGAGGCGCGAGCGCCTAAGTCATGATGCGCAAGTCATGGCACGCCCAATCCAAAGGCTTTGACTTGTTTGATTTGACTTACAGGTTGGTGGGAGAGTGAACACTGTCCATTTTATTGAGGGGGATCCAGTTGGTACTCGACCTGGGGATGTCTACAAGTTTATTTGCATGGCATAAAGCTGGGAGATGCAAGGATCAGCAATGATCAGCAATGCATGCCGCGCCAGTCAATATCTACGTATATACATATATTATATATATATATATACGTATATTTATAGTAATCATACCGTCGGCGTATAATGATGAATGTGGTACTGTACAGCCTAATCTGTACATGGCATTATATGCTCGTGAGTCATGGGCTGCCATCAGATTTTTCCTCTAGATCAAAGGTCAAGACCTGAAGACATGTGCAGTAGAGACCAGGACAAAAATTCACCGTCGGAGTGTCGCCGTCAAATAGCTGAGCTTCTGCCAGACTAGGGAGGGAGGGGGAGAGAGAGAGAGAGAGAACCAACGGCAATCCAAATCCAAGTCTTTGGCCACTGCACTCAATACCATGGACCCAGTTCCCTCGCCGAACTCAGACCGATCGGTGACATTTCAACCTGGCAGGCAGCGACCAGCTAAAGAGACAGGAGAGACGATGCGGAGTTGGTCATAATTAGACGGTGCAGTTCAGAGGAACAATTGATTCGTCCTCCCCGCCGTGGATGTACCCCATCAGGTGCAGATCAGACAATGGATCGAAGAGCAACACTCACAAACTTGATCAAACTTGGACAACTTTGGAGAAGCATGTGTCATCACGTGTCCAACTGCCTGACAGAATGATGCAACATGCTTCTACATCGGCTTGTAGACTGGTGTTTGGGCTGTGCAAATCCCCTGGCGAGGAAAATCCGATGTAGTCCGATGTGCCAACGGGGCATCCACGATTGGAAGGGTGAATCACCCCTGACGTTCAATGCAGCTTTATGTTGCTGAGGCGGCTGGCCTTTGTGGAACTGCACATGACATCACATGACGGGTTTTCTGGATGTTGAGTGCTCACGATCAACCATCAAGAGGATTCTGTAAACATGATTTTGGCTCATGACAAAGAGACAAGGGGCAGTGTTCCACTTCCGGCATTGCCCCGACTGTGCACGTAGAAAGAGGAGAGGTGCCGGCTTTGCACTGCAGGGTGGTAGGAAGACAAAGGGTCATTGATGATGGGCAGCATGTTTAGTGATAGTGAATCAATGTGAATTCATGTCAAGCACGGCAAGCATATGCAAGCATATACTGTAAGTCATCCATCATGTCGCATTTTTGGATCATACATGATGCTTCCCTTTTATGCTTGTTTTACGAACACTTGCTCTTTTTTTCACTAGGTTGTTGCTGTGAGCGACGAGTAATTAATTAGATGGCACCCAATCAGCCATCATTTTGGGATTTGTGTAATCGATCTACTGAGATCACTTTCGTTTCAACGACTGACACCACTCTTGCTGAGTCTCGTCCGTCCAGATGTGGCATGGTGGGGTGTCGCTTAGTCTCTTTCGTTTCAACGGCTGGAAACAGAACCTGCAAGATCATGGCATGCTTGCAAAAAATGCGTGTAAATGTAAATGGGCACTGTGGAGCTGTTGTGCCTGGAAGTTTGGCGCCAACATGCGCCAACCATTGCTGCCGCCACCTCTCCCGGAAGATTGCCCCTCCGAATGGAGGACTGGAATGATATGAATTGGAATCCAATGGATGCCAAAGGCCTTTTATGAACTTCCAGGGATCGCGCAAGTGATAAAGTTTCTTTATGTTTCTTTGATGGCATGTGGGAAAGAAGAAGTCTGGAGCACTTTTGGGAGTTGCAGATTTGGTGATGCTCGGCTATTCGCTTTGAGGGTTTTGATACGGGAATTGTTGATCTCCTAAAGAGTCTAGCCCAGGGTCAACGTCAGATGGCTTTGGGCATGGAAGATGTATAACAGAGACTCTTAGTTACAGCGCACGGAGAAGCTGTTAGTGACTTAATTAGTGGACATATTTTTGAGTAGCTAGGCATTATGGACCAGGGTGTAGGTTTAATAGTGCAATTGATATTTATATACTGTAATTCTAAACGGATGATTGCATATCGTCCGCATCATTTCTATTTTCCAACTGGATGCTCATTTGGAGCATCGTCATGGGAGATGTGCTTTTGGCTGGAGGAAAATGCTGGAGCTACCCAGGCATCATGGATGCCAGCAACTCAAGACCGAGGAGTCGGTAAAATCAGGGCCTTGATCATCCAAAGAACCCAACAAAGTCTTGGGCGCTTTGCTTTGCAAGCTCAGGTGAACACGCCAGTCGGTTGCTGCATGGCTAGTGTAGCCACCTAGCCCAGCATCCAAAAGCGACTCTCGTGAAGAAGTGCAGGGACGGTTGTTCAAAAAGGCTTGCGTTGCAGCTACCCAGTGCATTTTGGGGGCGAATGAGGCGTTTCCCGCATAAATAAACATCAAAAACGTGCTCAGTGCTCAGCCCCTGTGCGTTTCACACGCGCGTCACGGAGAGGCTGGCATGTGGCCGAGCACTGTTCCAGGGGCGTATGGAACCTCAGATACGACGGCGCCGGTGGATAGGGGAGGGCTCCATGCAGTCCAGACTCTGAGAACGACGAGACAAGTGACCTTGCGTCCCCAACTCTGGGAGGCACAACTCTGGGAGGACTCGGTCTGTCGAGATCCGCAAGACGCACTCTTCAAATCTGACCTGGTTTGGTCCTTTTGTGCCTGCAAACAGTTGCAAACAAGCATTATAGACAACAGGGGCCAAGCTTTGAACACGTGCAGACCTTTTCGCCCCGTTTGTTGACGATTTAAAAATTCAGCACGAGGCCGTGATTCTTCATTGTGTTCAGCACTAGGCACGAAGAGAAGATCGAAAGCGTACAGTACTGTATATTCAGCACATGTTCACATCGCTGAATTTCACAGCGAATTCCGAGGCCTTTGGGTGTGGTGCCAAGAGAGCCCACACGGTTGCCACCATTGACAGGCGGCAGTTTGGATCCGGGCCCCTGCATACCGCCCAAATGGGCACCATACCACTACATGATGTGAGTTCGCTTAGAAGGGTTTTGTTGCATGGCTGTGGCAACATGATGTGAAAGGCGACAGTGGCATGCAATTCAGAATCCAACCATTGATGTATCCTTAGACTTAGAATGCATGAATACTTTTTTTGGCGACTTGTAGATGCTCTTGAGCACCACCCTTCGCACCATCATCTTCCAAATAGGGACCACCTTTGGTTGACATTTGATTGACTCCTTTGAGCATGGTTTCGCATGGCTGAGCGAACTTTGAACCGGATGGCCCGAGCACGAGCAGCACCGGATCGCCTGTCTTCAGGTGATGGAGACGAGGAGGCTGCTGGAGACGTCTCGGTGGGGGAGGTGATGGGGGAGGCTGCGTGTGTCCTGACACGCCTTGAGACGGTCTGGGTGAGGGAGACCCTCAGCGGGTCTCTTGTATCAACGGCGGCAGAAAGCCCATTTGAACTCAGTGCATTAGTTGTGCAATGATGTCCACCTGAGATTAGCCAGCTTCTCCTGGATAAAACCATGGGGCAGTTTGCGCAATTGTGTTTCCTGACGTGGCTAAACACGACGAACAAAGATTGGGTCATGCATGGTCATGCACCCTGATGCAGATGTTGCGGAAACTGTATAGTTCCAACCCTATCTCTCATTAGGGTGATGCGAGTTCCCAAACCTGACCTCATGGATTAGGATCATGTCACGGTGTGTCAGGTTTCCTTTCGTTGAGGTTCGTTTTTTGGGGACAAATTTACAAAAAAATACTTCACAACGATTTGTTTGGAGGCTCGCCAGTTTGCCATTTCCCTTTGGAGAGGTCACGAGTCACAGCAGGGGGGGATAGCGATGTCGACAGGTCGTCACACGTTTTGAAAGAGAAGCCGACTGGTCGCACAGGGAGCCATCGAATGAACACACGAGTCACGAGCCCTCGTGTCGCTCGCTTTAAAGCCCTCCAAGGTGTGAGTCTTCCGTTGGTTCCATCGCCGTTGGCCGGGGCCGCATCGGGGTACACTGGTAATGCTTCAGATGAAGCCGGTGGGTTTTGTGCTTCTGAAGTGTCCTCGGTTTCTGTGGCATTGTGTGCAGCAGCTTCAGACAAGAAGTTTCGTGAAATGTCCATCGAACATTTGTCTACCGTATCTACCAGTGGTGATCCTGGGTTTGGGTTTAGGGGATCGATATGATACTAATATGTGTTTCTTTTTTCAGCTCTTGGAATCCCCCGTTTGCTATTGCTGAGCTCACCTCGCTGGCCAGGCCAAGCGCGGCACCCGACCCCGCAGAGGCGAAGCCCGAAGCGAGCCGGTGCACCGAGCTGAAGCTGGCAATTGAACAAGAGCAAAACGGACGAAGCCAAAATTTGTTCTGCAGATTTATGTAAGAGCAAAGGACCATGCTGGGTCAAGCCTGATGACATAGGCCTTTGGAAACGCCATATATGTTCGACAAATCCTAAGTTACTCGTCAGTATTGTATATATAAACATATTATTACTCTATCAACCTCTTGAATCACCTGGCATAACATGCAAAAACCACAAGGAGTAAGAATTCCAAGGCGTTCTTTTTCTTGGGTTTCTGTTGTGCCATGGGAGGTTCTTCAGTTAATTCAGACTACTTTAAGTCATATCATCAGGCCGCAACCATCACAATCCATGGAAAAATGAGGCGTTCGGTGAAGATGCTTGATGTTGTCCTTTTTTTGATTGTGGAGGCGTCCAAATGGTCCAAAGGTCCTATGATTCCCCACCCAGACATCCTGTCCTGCATTAGCCTGTATTGCTCGATGTGTGAGCGCCGATGATTATTCAGCCTTTGGGCTAGGTCATTTGTGGGTACGTCACTTGAACTACAATATGCCTAAGTGACTAGACAGCAGTGTAGATGTTCAAACAGTTACTCTCCCTCCAACAAAATATGGAAGTGGAACATGGCCTCTTGGAAGATTGTTTTCCTCTACAAACCGGTGGTTTTCCACTTCCATGATTGTTTCAGGGAGGATACCTACAGTGCTTGAATCACAGCCAGGACCCGTTGGACCCATTGAGTCGAATCCCAAAAAGAGGTCGACCTCCGCATGCCCGGTCGTTTCATACATGTTCTACATCGTTGGATGCCCCGTTTGCAAGCTACTTTCCGCTCATGATCGATTCCCACTCTGGGAGGTGCGAATGATATGGCCTCCTTGTCGCAACTTGGCTGGGTTTGTGTCACTTCCGTCCTTTTACAAACCTCAAAGTCTAAACAAATGGGGGTGCTGGCGACTTGCCGTCGCATTGGGTGAACACCTACTTTGGGAGTGCTGAACATGTTGGTGAGCCATTCACCGCCCCAGGCGGAAACGTCGCGACCTGGCGCTGGCGAACCGCGAGCACGCCATGCCACGCCTCGGTGTTTTGAACAGGGCATGCTATGGCTTTGTGGAATATGGAGTCCAACAATTGGTCCCCTTTGGTTTTTGATAGGAAGGTAGACCTGGAAGAAGGATTAAGAAACTCATCCCAACCTCAGGCCATTTTTCTTGCCAGCTGATTTCAGTGAGTGGGACCCCTTCAAGGGGATGCAGGCAGGCACAAGACCTACAGAATCCTACAGATATATTTTCTCATTCAGCCCTCTCTCTGCTGTACAGTCCCCATCTTCGGCCGGCCATGCCTTATTCCCGAATGCGTAGCGAAGGGTTCTCGTTTGACTCTTGGGGGTCTGGGGGTGGAGCCTTGTTCGCGACCCGTTGGTTCTAAGTTCGCAACCGTCCGCAACCGTCCGTAGTAGAGCGCTAAGGCGCTGCCATTGGGGGAAGCTTTTGCAAGTGACTTTTCATGGGTGTGTCACGTGTCAGTTTGCGCCGCTATTCCATTGTGATTTGCATGAAAATGAGATGTCGCGCAAGAAACGTGATGCGTTTCGCTGCACAGGCGCAGCGTTTTGTGAGATCTGCAGATTGCTGCGCAGTTCCATTAGGATTAGCGTTTGGAGAGTCGTGTTTTTGGGGTGTTGGATGTGGCCGTGCCATTGGGATTTGCGTTTCAGGGTGTGGCATCGAAGCTCTGTTTTCGTGACAAGTCTCAGCTGAAATGCCGATTTTGGTGGATGGGAGTGTGCTCAGAACGGGTCGAAATCATTCCAAACGTGTGGTGTGGTGCAAATTTTGTTGAAGCTCACATGAGATGATATTGTCACTTTTCGTGGCAGGCGCAGGACTTTGTGCGGCTTTTGAGGTGTGGAAGTGCGATCCTCGTGGCAGGCGCAGGGAATCGTGAGGTTGCGAGGTGTGACGGAGGTGACATTTCGTGGCAGGCGCAGTACTTTGCGCGCGTTAGACGTGTGGACGGCGGAAAGATTCGTGGCAGGCGCAGGGAATCGGGAGGTTGTGTGAGTTGTGGAATGTCGCTGTCACATTGGGATTGGCGTGTCGTTTGGAGGGGCTGGAATCGCGAAACTGCTTGGCAGGGCTGCGTGATATGTGTGCTCCGATGGGTGTTTCCGCTGGACTTTTGGAGGAAGTCTCGTGCGAAACGTTCGTTTTGCGGACAGTTGACATGTGAGTTTTTGAGGAAGTCTCGTACGAAACGCTCGTTTTGGGGACTTGACGTGTGACTTTTGGAGGAAGTCTCGTACGAAACGCTCGTT